TATATGGGGATTTACGGATTAGCCTGACACTAGGGCCTCCCTTTTTTCCACAACTAAATACAAATGCAGAATACAAAATCTATAAGTTACGCGTACTGCCTTACTATTAGGAATATAGCATGTTCTACCTAATAAATAACCCTTATTATCGTGTACTAGGTGCTTGAGAGTGGAATGTGGAGTGTGTGTTTCTGCCTGCACGAGTATCTTGCATATATTGACTATATCCCAAACCAGATTTGAAAATCTAGACAAAGAATCTGAGATACTGAGCCGCTTTCTCGGCGCTAGCTCATTCACGCCGAGCACTTTACCTCTCGGAACGGCTGGCTTGCACCGCCTAGAATGTTCTAGATGTGGTAGGTATGGTGATATGTTGGTAATCGCCGTTTAAATGTTTGATATTCTGGTTTTTTCTACTGTGTTCGTACTTTTTTGTGTGTTTATTTGTTGGGATGATTTGATATCTTTCTACAAAGTCGAGAGCGCCTATTTCATTTATACTTATGCTTATATGGGAATCTGCATCATGGATCTTTCTCGCAATGTTTTCTTCTGAATCTATTCAGTGCATCTAGTGGCTAGGCTAGCTAGCTTAGGCTGGACAGATGTCTTTATCTAATCATCTGAGTCAGTTAGCATGGTGAATTCGAGGTAGAATTCAAACGAGGCAAATCCACCCCGCGCTCAGTTCTTGCGCAAAATAGTGGGCGCAAGAACCATACTGTTGGTACTATACCATTTCCTAGGGTTATGATCCACAGTAACCTAACCTCGTATCTCTCAAGTCTCCGCAGTCGTCATCACCATCCGATCTGGTCACCCTGATGACAAACTTTACTCGTAATACTTACAACTCCAACAAAAAAGACAACAAAGTTTACTAAAAACTTCAAAAACTAGATCATTCCCGACATCTTGGCAAGCTATCCTCTCTACGGATACACATCCATTTTATAAGTAAACCAACAGTTAATATACACATGCATACAGCACATCATACCATACTAGTCTAAACCCCCTCCTCACGAGGAAATATCAAAATACAAGGATCAAGTGGAACAATGTATACGATATGCGAAGGCGTAGCACATCAGATACCACTAGGGTATTTGAATGGACGACTTACTATGAGAATGACGAATAAGTGGTTCGGCTGGAGCGGAACGGAACAGGACCAAACTGTCGGGTTCTAACTGTTGGATTGCTGTGGATACGCTTGCTAGTTCTGCGGCATGGATGTTATGGATGTTATGGATGGATGTGAGGCTTTGAGATAATGCATCTGGATTCTCGAGTGTGGTTCATGTGCGAAATGTGGGTAGGTTTTTGCTTGGGTTTGATTATTTGATGTCTGTTTTTTTTTGTCCCCGTTTTTCCTTTCTTTGGAAAGAAAAGATATCACTAGTATTTCCAACGCCATCTCCTGTTACATCACAGTCATGTCGGTGCTCCGGAGAAACTCTAACGTTTGGTTTCATTATAGTGGGCGGTTCAGCTACTCGCTCGCCCGATACTTCCTCATACCAAAGAACATTCCAAATATAGATTGATTTAATCTAGAAAAAGCTGAAGTGAAGCATGTTCCACTTTCAGATTTTAAGAGTTCTGGGTACCATTGGTTCTTAGTTAAATTGATTGAAGGATATCCTTTTAAATACAAATATAGCTAATCGAGGAGGAAGGAGGAAATCTGTACGATATATACTATTCTCGCTCTTGTCCAAATGTGGATGAGTTACCGAGACAGTAGATCCACTTAAGGTTAGCGGTGCCGAATTACATGACATTTATCATGCCACCAATCTAACGACCTCGAGACTAACGGCAAACTAATATTTACTATCTTGTTTAGGCTATAAAGAAGACGCTATTTTACTTTGATATCTCACAGTGCATCGTTAGAGAATATATATTCATTTTTCACTCACTTAGCAATCTCTTTAAGAGACCTAATCATATACACTTACAACAAACATATCCGCAACACTTCACCCACTCTTTCCATCCAGCATATTATTTCCATCAAAATCTAACGCTTGACCTAGCACCGCGGCACAGATCTACTCTGCATGATCTCTGTCCCAGGTCCCTGGTCCTGCGCTCTCACACATCCATTATTTTGTTAGAATTGCGATACCATACCAACTAAGTAATTATGCGCCGGCTGAAGCCTGTATAAGGCTAGCTCGGTAGGCTATTCATATTTTAGTACAGTGCCCCTCTCAGCGTTATTTCCGTGCTTCTAGATTCTATTCAGCTAGCGACAATACGTGGAGCATTCGAAACATAGATATCCTCTGGACCTGTTTGTGGAAGAGGACTTGGTATGCAATGCATAACATTCCACATCTAACATATGTAACCATAATACTGATCTGTCATCCAATCATAAAGGTTTTCTAGAACATCACACAACATGAGCTAGATAAAAGTCGTTGCCTAAATCTCCATGTTGGTGGCTTGGTTGTCGCATTTTGTTCACTGCATACTTTTTCTTTGTTTGTTAGCGACGTCGAACTTGGTAAACGCAACACATTGTTTCTGCTACCGTGATAATGGGATGATGGATGGTTGGCACGGTTATGTCCGCGGAAATGGAGGTGGGAATCTATTCTGAGATGGATGGATGTGTTAGATGAACGAAGACATGTAGTTAACGGATACCTAGTTGATGAGAGGAGGATTGATTATCCATAGTTGGATATTAACCTCCTTTTTTCTATAAACTTCTTTTTTTTTTCATTTCGAGAATATTGCGGAATACTTTCGATGATATATTGTCATTCGCTCATATCTATGCACTGCTACTCCTAAAACCGATTTTGTTATTTCCCAACTAAGCGATAGTTGTTACTAGTTATTATTATTAGGAGGAAGTGTAGAGATATATATCTCTTCGAATGCGATGAAAAATAACCTTGAATACTTTATTTACGCTCATATCCCTCTTCATTGAAGTTTCAGGCCCCCAACTTCTGTTCCTCCAAAGATCTATACGATATCAAGTGATATCATATCCTACCTGGAATTTAGGCAAGCATCCGCAATTCGTTTCACGAAATGCTGGAGACACTGTACTAGGTCACTTGGAAAACCGCTCAACCTGAAAACGATACTTGGTGTCAATGATATGGATGATATCATATGGTCTGCATAATAATTGTGGTATTAGAAGTGATGGCTATGATTGCTTCGTGTATATTTTTGCAAATTCAGGATTCCTTGGGCGATAGGGATGGCGAAGTATATGCATAGTTTCTGTCGTTGCAAATCCCTGGATTTATATTTATCATATTCGTCTCGACCTTATTCACAGGGTGGAGAGTTGCTGTTTCCAACTTTAATTTCTTCACAAGAAGTTCGTTAGTATCTGGCAGTCGCATCAGTATGAAGTCTGTAGAACTTCATCTCGAATCCGAGATGGTACCCATCGGATACAACCATAACATGCCTTTTACTTAGGTGAATCATCCGAATGAAGCCACCTCGACCTTCCGTTGCATAACTAAAACTCACCACAGTCAGGATATCCATCACCTGCTTTTCTACAATCCAATATCCTTTCCGCACTGTGAACAGTTCATCATCAACCTTACCGCCATACGAGTACGTCAAAACAGATTCTGTCCCAAATAAATGCATAAAAGCTTCCAAATCGATATCTCTATCTTCACATAAATCCCATAAAATGTTACTGATCAAGTCGAATATATTCGATACGCTGAATTACCTTGCTACCATTAAATCTCTGTGGCATAATTATCCGAAAATGAATCTAAAAATGGTTCCTCGGTTAAATTCGCGATGAACCCCCTAATTCCTAGAGGTAATGAAAAGTCTCAAATTCTTTGTTGCACGTCTCATTTCGAAATCAAGAACTCACTTTTTGATTGGTCCTTTTCAATGACTAGAGACAATAAAAAGTTTTGTTGGATATCTGAATTTTTGATGATTTGGCATTAAGGGATTTCCAAGGCAGTAACGAGTATGAAATAATGCTAAGGTGGACCATTGCACTATGTATGTGGGCGAAGGCTTTCAAGAGATTTATGAGGAAGGGGATAAGTTCAAAGAAGCTAAACGAAAATAAAGAACTAAGATTACCTCTGAGTGTAGCGAGGAGCCATCCGGCAGAATTTCACTTAAAGACATCTAAAGTAGTAAGACTATCTGAGAATCATTCATTTCATAGTTTGAGGACATGGATAGTTTTATCGTAAACACATCGATTCTGTCTAAAATACAGCCTTTGAAGTTGCATATATCATCGTTATTTCCTTCTCTATTCATAATAGTAGCCCAAAACCCATTCTCGCTAGTGCCGCTCGACCACCACCTATGTAGACGGAACTACTCGATCGTCACAGTAACATAGGATTTATCCAGATGAATAAATTTTCCTAACATATACCCAACCCCAACACGTTCGTAAGACATACCGTTAGAAGCCTTTGAGACTGGCTTGACAATCAAAACGTAATGCTTTTTCGTGCTTGCATCGTTCAAATTCTGCTTATCCGTACCAATGATGACGCATTTCGTCGGAGTAATCTTTTCACCATCATAAAATATAGATGCTTCGCTTTCGCCAGCGCCTGCAGGTATATTAAAATCAAATGCTTTAGCCTGGATAGCCAGACTATCACTATGACGACTTGTTTTGAGCCATGAAGTCTGATCACAATTAAGATTAGCAAACTGGAGGGTCACTCCAGAATTATTCCAATCAACCTGACCGCCCAAAGGCTCAATGAACGAGATCGCACCGTCAAAAGCCATCCACGACCAAGTTGGCGGAACCCGACGTGAATGTGTACCATGCGGGATTTTCCTCAGTAGTTCTACATTGTCTGCCCGTCGCCAAAGCAAGCAGCGACCCCAAAATGTCTCAAAGAGACCTGCGAGACTTCGTGTTTTGAAAGCGACGGTCAGTCGCTCCATCAGCCCATTAATGGCAACAGGTCTATCTTGCGGGTGTGAAAATTCTAGCCTAGTGTATGTCTGAAACAAATTAATAAACAGGTCGATTTGCTCCCCAACAGTACTTGTTGGTCGAATCGTGTAGTCAGGAAAATTTGGGTCGCCGAGGAAAGCTATTTTGTCACTAATCAAAACACATCAGCTAGGCTGTCTGATGAATATTGTTCAACTTACTTCCTAAGTGTCGCCAATGTTTCGCAGCGGATGCCCTTACCACACTCCCAATATGTCTGAGTATCTGTAAAATAAATGGTTCGACGAGCCAAAGCACGTTCCTGCAATACCCATCCACGGCAGCTCAAGGGGCTGCGGAGGACATCACTTTCAAAATCATTGGTGACTGGCGAGACGTAGACATTATTGGTTTTTAAGTATTTTGGTCTTGACCCTCGACTATGCAAAAAGCCATCTTTAGCACTCTGGGCACTGCAAGCTGCCAGAACGCAGTACGCACCATCAAAGGTTGTTTGCATCTTATCTGCTTCCTGACTAAATTCACCATCCAGGCCTTGTATAATGCACAAAGAATCGATCCAGAGATAAGAGCACTTGAGCGCTTTCGTAATCACAATGGCATTTTTGAAGCTTAGTGGCAACTCGTCCAATGGAATCATATCCTTGCGTTCTTCGATATTCTTCATCGTTGTCTTAGCTTCAGCAGGCATATCACCCCATTTGTGCGAGAGTGCGAGGTAACGGATGCCACCAGAAGGAATATTCTTGTAGAGATCTGCCGTTACGATCTTTGGCATTGTCGGTATTTCGACATTGATGAGCCTTTTTGGTACCAAATGAGTATCCTTAGGAGCACAAACACATCCATGATTGCTATCACACTCCTTGAGCCATGCCTTAAGTACTTTTATGAAGGATTCAAGATTCTTAGATGAAGGATCGTGATCGTTGGCCAGTAAAGGTAATTCTGGTGCGGCTTCAGGGGTCAGTGTATCCTGTTCTATATCTGATTCTCCTGTTAGATAAGAACACTAATAGTATGTCAAGCCTCAGTGCCTACTAATTAACCGGAGAAACTTCTGGTTAGTTTCTTTCAAGACGAAGTCCTTCCCTGATTGTTTCAGCAAGATCTCCTGGGTATCGCTGCGGCTCGTTAGGTTTTGTTCCTTGGCTACCGTGTATACCAGTTCGCATAGGTCGCAATCCCATCTTCTTGACTTGGCCTCTAATTTTCCAATATGATAAGCAATCTCTGTATGTTGTGATGAGATGTTAATGAGCTTGCAGTCTGTACACAACACGGCTTCGCCGATACTATAGTCCCGGTCTTCCAATATTGACTCGACGAATGAAGAATTTTCAGGATATGCCACCCACTCATTTTTTATGCTGTTAGTGTACTCGTGCCGTTGAGCTATTCCGGTTCCCCGTCCTTTGGCCGCAGGAATACTCACTATCCTTGTATCATTGGGCGATGACGACGAATTACCCGTGGATTGTGATGAGCTTTTTGTGGCTGAATCGGCTACGTCGGGTTGAGACATGCGTCTGCGATTTTTACCACTAAACAAATACCTTTCGTCTCCATTGGCGCGTTCAAGAATGATAGCAAGCTGTTCCCTTAAGTCTTTCGCATTTGTGCGGAAGCCTTTGGTGTAGAGATCTGAGTTTGGAGGCAGATCAATCTTGAGCAGTCTTTCACTAACCAACTTGATCAGGCCACTGATAGCGTCCTTGGGCTCTGAATTAGGCTCTAATATGTCATCCATCCATTTATTAACCACATCAGTCACCCTGTATTTTCCTTCACCTTCTTTCCTCCAATATGGTGTTACGTGTGTCTCTCCTGTGAGAAATCCGTTCTCCTTCCAGAAGTCATTATGAGATTCGTAGCCATACAGCAACCACAACACGGCCTCAAAGATAACAGCACCCATGCTCCAGATGTCGTACAAGCGTGAAATTTTGCCTCCTGCCTTCTCCTGATTTTTCCCGTCTAGATCTGGAGGCTCGTACCATCTTGTCCTCCAAAGTTCTCTTTCCGTAGTATGCCTCATTCTTGTCACAAATTGATGTTGTTGTGTTCTCCCCAGATCTGCAAGTTTCAGAACACCCAACTTATCGTAGTCTTCGTCGACAATGAAACGCAGTTTGTTTTCTGGTTTAATATCGCCATGACGCCAGTTTTGCGAGTCGGGGCTTTCAGTGACTTTTAGACTTACGGGATCAGAAGAAACGACAATGCTTGGCACTGTTAGTTTGCTATCATCATCATCCGCAGAATCAAAATTGAACGTCGGCAAGGACGAGCTATCTGCAGGTAATACACCGGCACCTAGGCTACTCTCTTTCCAGTCTGCACTCATTTGTGGCCGAAGTGCCGGGGATGATGCCGAATCGCTCCTGCTATGTCTAGGCGAATGAGACCTAGTAGAATGCATTGCTTCGAGAGCCTGAGCTAGTCCATACAGCTGCTCCAACATTCCTTTGATCCGTCGACGAACTTGACTGTGATCTAGATGCTCTACTTGAGGTTCAGGATGGCTCTTCCAAAAGTCAAAAAGGCTCCCACCATCAGCCCATTCAAGCACAAGATAGTACTCATCATTCCACTTGTTGTTCATCGCAATTTGATGGAAGGCGGCAAATGCTTGAATGATATTATCACTTTTTTGATTCAGCTGCTGATGAGCTCTTGCCTCACGCTCCCATTCCTTCTCTATTCCATAGCCGGGATCACCAAGTCTTATCAGCTTTTTTAACGCGACTTTAAATGTCTTGCTTTTTACGTCGGCCATATTATGCTTACTAGCCGACATCTCCACACATTCAACTTGGCTAAAGTGGCCGCTTCTTGGTGGAGTATCCGCTCTACCAGACGCTGTAAAGGGAAGTGGTTGATTTTTATCGAACTCATACATGAAAGTCTCGCTATCAAAGGTGGGAACGATAAATGACAACCGTTTATCTTTGAAAGTATCAATCGTGCTCTCGTTCCAAAGCTTGTGTTTAAAATAGGACGGATCAAGCTTATGGGATCCTAACAAGGTATCTTTGAATTCACTCGCCATTAGAGAGTCCATGACTTCACGTCGACTTTTACTGTCGGTGAATACCTGCAGCAATGTGGCAAATGTTTTCTTCGTATGGTCAAGAACATACTTGACCAAAGGCAAAACCTCGTGACCACCACCGAGGGCATCTTGAATCGTGACTTCCTTGAGGAGACTATCATATTCATCGTCTGGAAAATAATAACCCTCTATGGATACCCCAATTACATTGCTTTTCGCAACTTTCCAGATTTCCGAACCAAGGTCAATGGAGTTTGTGGGTAACTTTTCTGCAGCCGCAGCTCGCTCGCATTGTTCTCCTGCATTTCGTTCTTCGACTGAAGGTCTCTTGTTAGGGTGTACTCATAAAATAGGGTGCAAAAACAACAGCTTACCTTGGAAGTCAGGGGCTTTGCGCCTTAACGCGGTCATGTTAATCCACTTGAATCGAATGGACGTTGTAGGTGACAGATCGTGTATTGTGAAGGAATCAAAGCTATCATTTTCAAGATTCGAGATCTTCCAAGAACAGGCTGAGCTTGCGGGAGGATGCATGTAGGATTCGAGCTCCAACGGTCGGCTGCATTCAATACATTAGGAATCCCAAACACCTAGCCTGATGATGCATGAAGACAAGTACATATGCAGATATTTTGCTAGCCGAACCTCCGATTTTCACGGGATCAAAGGTCAATTATTGATTTGCGAAAGTGGTCGTGGAGTGTCATTGGTGAGCTTCAGATCATGGTATAGCTTGCATAAAAGGGCCCTTAACCTAGTCTCCTCTTTGCACAATCCAAATAACATAATGATGGAATCAAAAACAAGGTGCGGAAGCGGCTTACCACCAACTGAATGAACATATCGTCGATTGAGAAATTGAGGCTTCGCTGCTCGCATCTTCCTGCAAGGCATTCTGTAGGCCAACTGCTTAAAATAGGTGTTAAACCATACTACCACCGTATACAACAGGCATACTTGATCGATAAATCTCTGCTTCGATTGGAGCTTTTATGCCAATACAAGCGAAAGTTTGCCATTAAGGCTGCAAGAAAATGAAGGCGGATATGTTGCTTCATCAGCTCACCGACTCCATGGTCAAGGATTAAAGCTGAATACGGCCCCAAAGTAAGCTTTGATCGAAGCATGCAATGAAAGCCCTAGTTTTGACCTTCTTGATCATACGACCCCCTAATGGTTGCACCATGTGTTCTTCCAACGAGAGGGCGGATCAAATGACATTCTGTCGGACTACTGAGGCACAACAGACACCACATTTTAGAAAAGGAACATCAATCGGTCGTGATTCTCCATTCTGTTATTTCCTGAAGAAAAGCGTGAGGCAAACCTTGTTGAACTGATGAAGTGAGTTGGTAAGCTGTAGAAAATTTGCCCGGCGCCACCTGACGTGATACACATGGCCATTGCTGCCTATCATCTGTAAATCTCACGTCGTATTGTATTCGCACAACTTGAAACCAAAAAGCTCAGCAAATATGTAATGATGTCTGGCAGTGGAGATCTTGCATTGTGTATTCGGGGTGAGCTGGTGTTGTGATGTTTTAGAACCCTAAATTCTCTCGATTACGTAATCAAATAACAAAACTGAGTATCAAACAAGAATAAGAAGAGAAGTTATACTCCAAGTGCTATAATGTATTTGTAATAAAATGAAATGTATTATAAAAACTTTATAAAGATTTATTATAAAAACTTATTAAATACAATTTATTATTTTAACTTTTAAATAAAAGAAATAATCAACTTATATTTATAACCCATTCAATCATATATCTATAATCTTATTTTATAATAGAAAACATATAATATGGTTTATTAGTATATATACTATATTAGTATATATATTACTTTTACCTCAATTATTATCTTTCAATTAAAATAAAATTACAACAATATTATAAAATAGAATTAAATTATTGTTACGTGACGGTTGTTACCCACTAGTGGCTCACGTGCACTAGCCCTGTATATAAAGACCTTCTTACTTAGAATCTTCTTACTTCTTTAGTTTTAGATTCTAAGTGATTGAATTGACTCCGTTTACGACTTTTCCGTCACAATTATATACAATCTAAAGATCAGTTAATACTAGATTTAATTGATAAGTTCGTGTATTATATAAAGTATTATTGTATTTGTTATATCGTCGTATAGTAGCTTGTCTTTTTATTGAAGAATCATCATTTGTATATTCGTTGTATTATATCTGATCATTTATATTTGTTACAACGGCTATCTTCTATGCCGCGTCACATGACTAAACCAAGGTAACGTGATTAAAGTCACGTTATGGACCGCTGAGGAACGCTGGCTGTCCAGGACCGCGCAGCGGTCCTGACTAGCCATAGGCATGAAGGTCTATATAATCAAGAGGGATTTCCTTTGTATAGAGCTTCGTGCTCAAGATCAATCATTTAGTATACTCTACTATTAGTTACGAATTGCATTATTGTCATTACTTTAAGTCCCTGCTTGACGCCTAGTTATAAACCACCTCGAGAGCCTAGAGCACTTCCACGTGATCTAGACGGCAAACCTCGTAACACGGAATCCAGCTTTATCATTTGATATAGATATTGCTTCGATATATATAACTTTAAAGACTTGAAAGAACTCGATTTTGATAATATAAATAATATATATCTTAATAAAGTTCTCGATTTATCGATTATATAAACACTTTAAAGAATCAAAACAATTGATATGTTACGAGGTTTGCCGTCTAGATCACGTGGAAGTGCTCTAGGCTCTCGAAGTAGGTTTATAACTAGGCGTCAAGCAGGGACTTGAAGTAATGACAATAATGATATGCAATTCGTAACTAATAGTAGAGTATACTAAATGATTGATCTTGAGCACGAAGCTCTATACAAAAGAAATCCATCTTGATTATATAGTCCTTCGTGCCTATGGTTAACTAGGAATCGTCGTTCCTGGGAACGAGCGTTCCTGGTTGTTCCTAGGAACGTTCGTTCCTCACCGTTCCATCACATGTTTTATGGTCATGTGACATACTAATCGTTTTGGACGTAACATATCTATATCAAATGATAAAACTAAGTTCTATAAAGCTGGGCTAATCCCATTTAATCCGGAAATTGTACTTTCAAAACTAGATATTCAAATAAGAACTCTATCAAATAGATTAATATCAACCGATCCTGATATATAACAATCTCAAACATCTTATAATCCAATTGAAGCTCTTTCTCAATCTACTTTAATAAAAAGTTGTATTGCTCAATATCAAGAGAGCTCATCTATTCCAATATTTAAAACAATTGCAGTTTTAATTAAGAGTACAGAACTCTTAACTCATACGAATACACTTTTAGCTGTTGAGATTCATAATCTCCGCAAAGCAAATAAAGCATTTAGTAAACATCGAAGAGCTAGAAAAGCTTTAATACAAAAAGGAGGAATACTTTCAGTAGAAGATGAATATAATATATTAGAATAAGAGAATATAGAAGATCAGATACGATGCAATAAATTTACAAATAATGATTCTTTAGCAAGAAGGCAAGCTACTATACGACGATGTAGCAAATGTGGTAGTGCTTCACATAATACACAAACTTGTCAATTAGATCCAGCATTAGTTGGTCTTTGAATTGTATGTAATTTAATTCTAATTTATAGTATTGTTGTAATTTTATTTCAATGGAATATAGGCAATTGAGGTAAAAGTGTACAGGGTCCTGATATGTACAGGGTCCTGATAAACCATGTTAACGTGGTTTATCAGTAACCGGAACACTTTTACCTCAATTACCCACATTCCATTAAAATAAAATTACAACAACACCATAAATTAGGATTGAATTATATACAATCTAAAGATCAACTAATGCTGGATCGAACTGACAAGTTCGTGCATTATGTAAAGTACTACTGCATTTGCTACATCGTTGTATAGTAGCTTGCCTCCTTGCTGAAGAACTATCATTTGTATATTCGTTGCGTTGTATCTGATCTTCTACATTCTTTTGTTCTAATATATTATGCTTATCTTTTATTGAAAGTGCTTCTCCTTTTTGTATTAAAGCTTTTCTAGCTCTTTGGCGTTTACTAAGTGCTTCATTTGCTTTGTGGAGATTATGAACCTCAGCAGTTAAAAGTGTATTCGCATAAGCTAGGAGCTCTGTACCTTTAGTTAAAGCTACAATTGTTTTAAATATTGGAGTAGGTGAGCTCCCTTGATGTCGAGCAATACGACTTTTCACTAAAGTGGATTGGGAAAAAGCTTCAATTGGATTGTGAGGTGTTTGAGATTGCTATATATCAGGATCGGCTGATATTGATCTATTTGATGGAGTTCTTATTCGAATATCTAGCTTTGAAAGTACAATTTCCGGATTAAATGGGATTAGCCCAGCTCCGCGGAACCCAGCTTTACTATTTGATATAGATATTGCTTCGATATATACAGCTTTGAAGACTTGAAAGAACTCGGTTTTGGTAATATGAGTGATATGCGTCTTGATAAAGTTCTCGATTTGTCGATTATATGAACGCTATAAAGGACCAAAACAACCGATATCGAGTGGTTGAGTTAAATGCGAAGAATGAGGTGGCAAACTAAGTAATATAATGTTGTGTTCCTTGCAGTATTCCTGAAATGCTGGTGATTTATGACTTTCATGCCCATCAAGCACTAGCATTCGATATCTACTCACTTTCCTACTTTCAGTATATTTGTTGAAGTGCTTAATCCATTCAAGACCTGTCTCATTATCTGTCCATCCATTGGTAGTAGGTTTAATAAGCCAATCGTATGGTAAATCGCCTTCGGTATACCAATTTGAAAGGTGGTATTCGCCTTTTACTATCAAAAACGGAGGTATATTATGACCTTCTCCATCAACACAAATAATCGCTGTAGCCCATTCCCGATTGCCTGGTTGTATAGCTTTGCTTTTTCCATATCGATCAGCTTTAGTAACTACTATATATGGTGATATTTGTCCCATCATAAAGCCTGTCTCATCGAAGTTGTAGAAATCGCAGTCTAGAATACCATATTTGGCCCGCATATTCGATACTAATCGAAACCATCTTTCAATAAGCTCTGAATCTTCGCAGAGAGCTCTTTGAAAGTCATAAACGCGATTAAAACGCGTCTTTAATTCTGTATGTCGTTTCACAAAACGATGAGCCCAGAGCTTTCCAACCTTCTTCGCACCCCGCGTTTCGAGTATATAATTTGCCATATCTTCCACATCACTTATTCGAGGACTAAACCCTCTTTCATCCATATCTAATATATATTGAAGAAGCGATTTCTCCTCCAATTCTGTCATTTTATGATTTGCTGGTCGACGTTCAGTAAGAGGCAGAATTCCATTCATTCTAGAGGTAAGGGTAGTATGAGGTATATTATAGAGTTTTGCAGCTTTCCGAATACTCAAATTTTGAGATGTACGAATAGCCTCAATAGCTAAATTGATTCGAGCTTCTTTTGAAGTAGTTTGCATAATTAAATATTGATAAATCGCGTGTTGAAGTTGAAAGGTGATAATTGAGGTAAAAGTGTACAGGGTCCTGATATGTACAGGGTCCTGATAAACCACGTTATATCTAATGAGTTTATGTAATAACCTTACTCCGCATCAACTACAAACAACTCACTTCAAATCAATCTTATACCTCCTCCACCATCAAGTATATCACAGAATCATATCTATCCTCATATATAAATCCTATACAGATGATACTATAAGAACAGTACAAATAACCTTCTACCCAATACCCTACTATATTCATCCCAACATATTTACAAGATCATAAAATCAATTAATTGCAAACAAATCCACTTTCAAGCTCTGAGTTATCAGGATCTTAAGATCTTATATAAAACCATGTAGAAAATAATATATATATTATACCTTCTCCTACACACAATTTTAAAATCTACTCGACACCTCATCCCATTCATTCAAAACATCTGCCACATCTATCAAATCCTTATTAACCACAACCTCGCAACAAAGAAAATCCATACATGCAGGTACCAAATCCATCTAACCGCAACATGTTGCACAATTCCAAACTCACTCGATCCCAATTCCCTACAGAATACAATGACACGAAACCTAATCCCAACCCTATTTCATATGTCGGATAAACCCCCTCGCTTATATCCTTTCCCCGATTCCCTAATTCTGCAAATTTCTTTCTAAATTGGCGAAGCCCCCTAAGTCGCAACCTCCATACAT